CCTTTCATCATAATAGGAGATTTTAACGGCCATAGTCCGCTCTGGGGTAGTAAAGATACAAATTGCCGAGGAAGACAAATTGAGCAGATGATCGAAGATCATAGCCTTTGTCTCCTAAATAATGGGCAGGATACGTTACTTCCATGAGCCTTCAAGGACATTCCACGCTCTCGACCTTGCCATCTGTTCACCATCTCTGTTGCCATTTTGCACTTTTAGTGTCGGAAATGACCTGTTACAACAGCGATCATTATCCCATTTTTGTATCTCTTGCACGAAGAGGAGCAAACCCCATGTCGAGACTCCCTCGTTTTATACTGGACAGGGCAGACTGGGAACTCTTCTCTTCCATTGCAGAGCTCACAGAGGAAATGGTAGAAGATGTGCATATCGATGACGCTGTTGAAGCTGTTACTAATACTATTATTCAGGCAGCTATGATGTCCATTCCTAGAACATCAGGAAAAATGCTCAAATATACGAAACCATGGTGGAATCGCGACTGTCATGAAGCACTGAAAAACAGAAAAAAGCATGGGGTATTTTTCGTAGATATCCTACTCTGCGAAACCTCATAGCATTTAAAAGAGCCAAAGCAAATGCACGAAAAGTAAGAAGGCAGAGCCAGAGGGATTCCTGGATTTCATATGTGTCGTCAATAACATCCTCCACGCCTAGTAAGCGGGTTTGGGAAAGAGTTCGAAAAGCATGCGGAATATATAAAGACCACTCACTTTCCTTTTTGGAAAAAGATGGCCGAGTGATTAGCTCCATAGAAGAAATTGCAAATACTATTGGTGAGACATTTGCTGCCGTTTCTTCCAGCAGAAACTATTCACCTGCATTTCTCTCTATCAAGCAGCACTCTGAAATAAATCCCATCGCATTCAACTCTTCCAAATCTGAGCCTTACAATAGAGCATTTACTATGCTTGAATTAAGGAGAGCTTTATTGCAGACACATAGGTCTTCTCCGGGTCTTGATGGCATAAATTACGAAATGCTAAAGCATCTGTCCTATAAGTCACTGACTGCCCTTCTCACTCTTTACAATAGAGTGTGGAAGGAGCGTATTTTTCCCAGTGCATGGAGGAGAGCTGTTGTCATTCCTATTGCTAAGCCAGGGAAAGATCCAAGGAATCCCTCCAACTATCGGCCAATTGCCCTTACCAGTTGCGTATGCAAACTGTTTGAAAAGATGGTAAACAGCCGCCTAGTCTACTTCTTGGAAAAGAATAATATTATATCGCCTTATCAAAGTGGTTTTCGAAAAGGGAGAACAACCGTAGATAACATGCTCCTCTTAGAGACATCCATTCGAAAAGCTTTTGTAAGAAGAAGTCACCCACCTTGTCTCGAATTTTTCGACATTGAAAGAAAGCTTATGATAAGGCATGGAGATACGGTATACTCGGGATCTTCACGAGAGTGGCTTGCGCGGCAACCTACCAATTTTCATTCAGAATTTCTTGAACACTAGAACTTTTCAAGTAAGAATTGGCTCTGTTTTTTCGGATGTTTTTCAACAGGAAGAGGGTGTGCCTCAAGGCTGTGTGCTTAGTGTAACCCTGTTTAGTTTAAAAATAAACTTCTGTACTTAAAAGAACTTCCTCCCACCATCTTGGGATCTCTATATGTTGATGATCTGCAGATTAGCTGTCAAGGGGCAGACATGAGATACGTAGAGAGGCAATTGCAGATGGCTCTGAATAAGATCCAAGAATGGTCAAACAAACAGGGATTTACTTTTTCCAAACAAAAAACTGTGTGCGTGCACTTTTGTAGGAAGCGAGGTCTCCATCCTGAACCTGAGTTATATCTGAATGGTACAATTATTCCAGTTGCGCCCGAAGTAAAATTTTTAGGAGTGACGTTTCGACCGAAAATTGACTTTCCTTTCTCATGTTTTAAACCTGAGAAAGAAGTGTCTAAAAACACTAAATATTTTAAAAGTGTTGGCGAACACCTCCTGGGGTGCAGAGCGTTGCTCCATGCTTCGCATTTACAGAGCGCTTGTTCCGCTCTAGACTGGACTATGGCTCAGTTGTTTATGGATCCGCTCGGTCATCAGTTTTGTTAAAACTGGATCCTGTTCACCATCAAGCCTGCGGATTTGTTCAGGAGCTTTCAGGACTTCTCCTGTCCAGAGCCTGTATGTTGACTCTAACGAACCATCACTTTATCTGAGGCGTGAGCAATTGTCCCTTTGCAATATTTTAATATTCTATCACAAACCTGAACATCCTAAAAAGCTATGCTTACTTGATGATGTGTGTAACACTTTATTTGAAACACGTCCATCCTGTTTTCCTACCTTTCCTTTAAGAGTTCGCCCTATCATTGACGAACTTTCCCTCTCTGATATGCGCCCCCAAGCAGTACAGAATTTTGAATTCCCACCTTGGGAAAATTCACGGATTCAGCTTCTTGATGTTTTCAAACATCACGTGTAGGCAAGCACTAACGAGATCGTGTACAGACTCCTCTTCGCTGAGCACAGGCACAAATATAGCAGTTATTATCCAGTATACACAGATGGATCAAAGTCAAATGATCATGTCGGGATGGCTTTTGTATTTGAAAATTACATGGAGGGCAGATGCTTGCACCATGCTTTCTCAGTCCTAACATCTGAACTAACTGCAATATATTATGTCTTTTGTACATCTCAAAGCTCTGCCACAAAAAGTTCATAGTTTATACAGACTCGTATAGTGCTCTTAAATCCTTGAAGCTTTTTCCCAACACTCAGAATCCTGTGGTAGTGGATGTTCTCAAAATTCATATAAATTTAACGATTCGAGGATATGAAGTCCTGTACTGCTGGTTTCCCGGACATGCTGGGAATAAAGGGAAATGAGCTTGCAGATATCAGCCAAATCTGCTGTTGAACTGTCCAGTCGCCTTATCCCTTTTAGAGACATCTGCTTGTGTCATGTCAAAGGGAAGGTACCGAAAAAAATGGCAGCAAATTTGGGATGTTCAGCATCAAAACAAGTTAAGACATGTAAAGCCTAGAATTGAGCATTGGGATTTTGCTGGAAATCGTAAAGGAGGAAGTTCTTTTGACTCGCCTCAGAATTGGTCACACAAGAGTGACACATAGCTAACCTTTTAAAAGCTGAAAATGAGCCTGTTTGTTTTCAAATTGTAATGTTTGTTATCTGTTCGTCATATTTTAATTGAGTGTCCATGTTTTAATAGTCTTCGCCAGAAATATTTTAATAGCTGTGACTTACCTCTCGACCGTTTAATCGGAAGAGAGGTCAATTGTAATTTATTTTATTATTTAAAAGAGACTTGGCTTTTATTACCTAAATGTAATTTGTTTTGAAGATTGTGTCTTGAATTTTAATGTGTGCTTTTAACTTGTTTTATATGACTTCATCCTCTGGATTTGGTACACATTTGTCTACTTGTTTTATTTTATTGTATTTTAATTTCATCAATTGTACTCACCCCATCTCGCGTTTGGCGCACTATAATCAACTTTGGTTTTGCGCCATAATCTCTCACTCACTCACTCACCTCAGGTACGTCTGGTGAATTTCAGAAAGGCAAGACGAAGTTCAGAAGAGACCTTTGGCCAAATTTTAAAGCAGATTTGACTCAAGAATTTAATAGACGAATAGGGGCTAATCCTAAGTTTTCGATTTATGACAAACACAAAATATAGTGAGGTTTTTTTTAAAATTGAAAATCACAGCTTGTTCTGCTTCTCGTGGTCTCGTTACTAGATTGCTATATTAGATAAGAGTTCTTTGACTGCATTATATTTGTCGATAACTGAATTCCACGCCGGTAAAATTTTGAGCCAACTTTGCGTTAAAGTGATTGCATAGCCTTCAGCATATGGTTTATTTGACTTTAAATTTATATTTGACTTACTTTTACTCAAGTTATCTCGCCACAAGTGGTTGGCTGAGTTGTAAGCACGACCTGTGCCTTCGGTTCTTATTCAATTATAAATAAAGGGTCTTTTAAACGTATCTCAAATTTCAGTTGTTACATAGCGATAATTCACTTAACATCTACCCAGAGTTCGAACACTTTGGATGATAGCTAAACATGCAAAACTGTATGCTTTAAAATGCTTTATAACGAGAGCTCTTGGAGCTTATTCTCGTTGCATTTCGCGTAATTCAAAGAACATTGAATGCTTACAAATATAATATGTTATTCTCAAACATACTTATTTCAAATACCAAATTTGAGAAATTTTATTTTATATCTATGTATATATATTTTACGAAAATAAAAGAACTTTAAAAGAAAGAATTTGGAACTTCAAGTAAAACATCATTTCCGATTTATCAATTTTAGCGGAAATTTAATACAATGAGATAAAAGTCTTACATACTAAAATTAAAAATTGTGCATTATATTTTAATTGTTATAGTCTTCAAATAAACTACTGTAATTCTGGTTGTTCATTAAAGAGTGCTATAGACTTCTTGTAAAGTACTATTTCTGAGTGTCATATTTTACCCCAAATCTAACCAACTTTAGGAGAACTCAGAACGTTTAAATGCGGAAAATGAAAATTTTCGGAAATTTCATATAAGAATAACATTCACTAAATAATCGGCACACTCATACTCACAGAAAGAACTGAGAAATAGTCAGAATGTGTGTGAACCCTAATTCATGCTTATTCATTTAAGACTCACTACAGAATTTTTAAACCGAAAACATTACCTCCTTTGCCCAAGTATATAGGTTGGCGGGAGATAGATATAAAGTGCTTAGTAAAAAAAGTACTCAGCTTTTTAGAATTATTTTTGGAATAATAATTAGAATTCAAAATTATGAAAAACATTTCTAAGAATTTTCATTATGTATTAAAGTAAAATCAACTAAATAATAACAGAATTATGTTACTAACAAAACAAAGCTTTAGATGCAAACGAATTTTTAAGAATATTTTTATCTATTCTATTTTTATTTTTCTGTGGCGCTATATTGTTGTAAAAGAAGTTACTTTTGCTAAGAAAACTGACCTTGGACCAAACGCTCACTTTCCATGCATATTTATTCCCACCTTCTTCTGGATCATTTTCATCATCATCATCATCATCGTTGTTATCTTCATCGAAAAAATAAGGGATAAGGGCTGGTTCTTTTCTGATTATTGGAGGCCCGATTTCGTTGTCGATTTCACTATTTTCGTTGTCCGTTTTTGAGTCTAGATCCATCTCCACAATTGGAATAGGCATCACATCTGGGAGAAAATCATGAAATGTTTTGTTTAAAAATTGGCCGTGTAATTAATTAAATGTACATGTTAGAAAAATTATTACAAATTACAAGAAAAGATTAAATTAATATACAAATTTCGAAGAAATGTTCTTTGAGTAAACTGCTTTTACTAAATAAACACTTGTTAGTCTTTATTTTTATGACAGAATATGGCTCCAGTATAGAATATTAATATCTACAGCATGTTTTATCTAAATTAGCATAAAAAATGTTCAGATGGAAGAATTTTATTGAAGAATAGTTAAATAAACAAAAGTCATTAGCATAGTTAAAATAGCGTGAGCGTTATGGTCTGTTATGGTAATAGCTGATAATTGGTTTAACAGCTATACAGCATTTCAATATATTTTTGAAAACTTATAGCTTCAGTAAACATAATTCCAAATCACACTCTAAGAAAACCAGAGATATAATGTATGAAAGTTGTTAACTATAACCTGACGTCATGAAAGATAATTTCAAATAAGGATCATAATCTGTTGGCACAGCCGTAGCTAGGGTTCTCAGCGCCTGGAAACAACTGAAGATTTTGCATTCCTTTCTGTGTGCCAAGAGTGAGTAAGTGACGAGGGACCTGGGCACCATTCCTCTACCATTGTGGTTAATCGGTTTAGCGCCACGTCCACCATTCTCTAATACATACTTGACGTGATATAGTACTTGACACAATACAATATTTAATGCATGCTTGACATGATATAATGCTTGACATAATACAATACTTAATACATACTTGACGTAATACGATACTCACTTAGCTCTTGCTAATATTTGACAGTAATGCCTGACATAATATTTGCTTCTAATACGTATTCTTGACATAAATACTGGCTTCTAAGAAGGTCTTGAGATGTTAGTGCACTTGACACAGGTCTGTAACTATATCTGATAGTTTGTTCATTATCTATGTGACTTGCCTATGTGTCTTTGTTTGATCATATATTTACTAATTGCCTTCGTGTTTGTTTGAGGCATTGAGATATGCGTGCTATTTGTTATAAGACAGTCCAGTATATAATGCTTAGGGATGCCAGTGTCACTGCAGGAACATTGGTCTGTATTTGTAATAGCCACCCGCAAGGGTTGACTCAGGCGAACGCCTGGGAAGTACTGGTTAGGATCTGTACCTAAGCAGTCTCAACCACGGGGGCATAATAACAGACTTCACAGAAGGCCTGAGGACTCTCGAGACAGAGTAAGGCTCGGCAGAGACCGTACTGGTACTGCCTTGTCTGCCCTTGCTCTGTGGGGTCGCAACATTGTGAATTGATCAAGGGCTGGGCGGCATTTAATTCCGATTGGCGCCTATTAGGGCGCATTAGGACGGAAGCTGCCCGTTCCATCAGCGTTGAATTTGTAATAGCATGCTTAGCATAGTACATAAGAAAGGGACCGTGTCCTGAGATATATCTGATGAGCATTGTATTCATATAAATCCTGTCCGTGTCGCATAGGTGATATGATCGTAGGTACGACGGCCAGTGTCACCGATGTCCCATTCTGCCAGCCATATTGATACTGCCTGAAGTTTAAGTTGCCTTTTGAGGAAGGAAATTGGCCAGGGGATTGCACTATGTTCTGCTTCCACATTCATTACTGAGTCTTTCGTGAGGAGGTCTGCTGTTTCGTTTCCGTGGCCTCCTGCGTGCGCTTTTATCCATTCCAGCCTTGTTTCCAGGTGCTGTTTTTGACATAGTTTCCATGTGTTCTGGCTTTGATGATCGGAAACCTGTGTGAAGGTTCCAAAAGTGCATAAAGACTGTCCGTTTTAAGAAGACTGTTTCTCAAATTGTTGTTATTGAGATCTGTATTGCTTTTACTATTGCAGTGGCCTCCCCTTGAAAGACGCTATTATGGCTATCAAGCTGTCCCTTCTATTGATACACAACGTTGATTTGTCATAGTTCCACTAAAGCATATCCTACATTGGTACCTACTTTTGATGCGTCCGTGTAAATGACCGTAACTTTATCTGTCAGAGTATTTGATGGAGTCTTTTCCTTCAACTTTACTGTAACTTCGATTCCCTGAAGAGACGGATGGGTGTCGAGGCAGCTTACCATTAGTTCATAGTTTGTGGGGACGTAGTGCATGTATCCGAAAGATGCATTCTTGTATAGTTGTTTCACTTGCTGAATGACTGCTTCTTTTCCGCCGTTGTATATAGTGGAAAGAGCCCTGCAAGAACTTTAACGGCAGCGGTCGAAGTTGTGCAAAATGTCTTCGTTATGCTTAGGGCAAAAGGCCTTTGAATACTTAGCAGGTGTCTGACCTAGCACCCCTGCATAGGCTGTGCCCAGACTGCTGCACAATAAGTGACTGTTTTCTTTACTACAATTAAATATAATGCTTTTTGAATGTGGGGATTGAGACCCCCAACTGTAGCCCTGTGACCGGCGCAGTTGCTTTGCTATTTGTGTAGTCTTTTTCTTAAATTCCAGAATATGGGCGATCCAGAAGAGATTCTCATAAAAGACTAGAACAAGGTATTTAAGATGGTGGACTATACTTCGTCTATTTCCATTTAGAGTGATGCGTGGCCTGCGTTTAAGCAACCTCCTTTTGGGGGGATGAGAAGAACTTGTGACTTGTGTTCTGCCACTTGCAGCTCCAAGTTTTGCACCAAGTGTAGGAGATCGCGCTGGATTGCTCCGAGTTTGCTTGCAGCTCATCTCTAGTGCGGCCTTTTACTGTTAGGACGGCATCGTCCGCATAAGCAAAAACGCGTGTGTGTTCTGGCCACGTATCGGTGATCACACTGTTGAATTTGACATTCCACTGGTACGGTTCTGCACAGGACCGTTTTGTACAGCCCCGCATCTGTATCTTCTGTATAATGCCATTGTTTTGTACTGTTATTAGTTGTTCTGTGAGGTAATGCTGCAAGGTGCTGTATATATTTCTGGAGCACTTTGCTTCTCGTAGTATGGCTTGCCACCACAACGTATCAAAGGCCCTTTTCAGCTTTTTTTTTTCAATTTATAAACGCTGGATGGTGGCCGTTGTTCCTATTATCCAGTATTTGATTTCAGATGTCGGTAACAGCGTGCTCGGGGGAGCTGCCGGACCTGAACTCATACTAATTTGTACCTAAAAAATGGGCGGTGCTTAAATGATGCCTAAGCCTGTTCATTAGAATTTTTCAAACAATTTGTCAAGTGTTGATAGGAGGCATATTGGACGGAATGAGCTGGCTCTAGAAGGGCCTCGAATCTTTTTCAAAAACTGAATCACTTGTCCGATCTTGAAAATCTTGATCCACCTAGAAAAAGTGCCGGTGACTAGAAATTTATTTAAGTAATTTCTGAACAGGCTTAAGTTTTTCTGTGCTATTCATAATGCTGTACGAAATCCCGTCCGGAAATGGCGCTTTCTTGTGCGGAATTTGTTTGAGAATATGTTTGATTTCTAGAGTAGTGATGTTAATGTCATTCTCCGTCTCCAGGTCTGTCGGAAGGTCTCTTACTTGTGCATGTGTTAGAGAGTCTTCTGTATAGTCTTGCAAGAAAACTTCATCAAGAACTTGTTGTACTGGCAGATGCTCTTCGCACACATCTTGGATAGTAGTCGTGAGAACTTCCGTAAAATTCTCTAAATCATCTTTTGTATGTGCTTGACGTAGCTGGTCTTGTAGTACACGGAATTTTCCTTGTATTTTTCTGAGTAATGATTTAATTTTCCTTATTGAAAGATTCAATCTTTTAATTATGGTTAGGGTGGTCTGGCTGGCAAGTTGGTATGTGATGAAATTATGATCTGAAAGAATACGCCTTCAAGCACCTCTTATTCTTGAATAAGATGAGCTGCATGCGGCGTTGTGATTATAAGATCGGGCCAGCCTTGAACATAAATGCGATCAAAGGTGGCGGGTGCGTTCGTGGTGTTGTGAGTGACCAGGTTATATGCTGACAGGAAACCTTCCAGGTGTCGACCCTTGATATTCATTGTGAAATAGCCCCAGCTGACGTTATGCGCTTTGAAATCGCCTGCAAAGATCATGTTGGGTCTTTGATATTTCCTAATCAGTTCTGAATATTCTTCATCATCTGTCGTAGGAGGTGAGTAAATTGAAGTAAAGACTAGACTAAATTTTATACCTCTAGAAGCACTGTAACGTAGTTCTCTCTCCTGTTTGATGATGATCAGGGACCAATTTCAATTACAACAAAAGACAAGGGCACGTAGTGGGTGTAGTTTGTCTCTAAATGTGAACCCTATAAGGCGATAATGTCTCTGTTAGTTTTATTAAACCACAACAATAATATATGCGATACATTAGAACCGAAGTTCTCGACAATTGACTCCGATTTGACGTAGTGCCTTAGACGAACGAACTAACATTTTCCCCGCCTAGTTGGCGGCGTTCGGTTTAAAGTGCAAAATCGCGAAGTTTGGCGCAATTACAGTTAAAGGCAGCAACATTCTGCCCCCCCCCTTTCAATGATTTCATTCAACAAATAATGTACAAGTAAATGTCAATTCAGTTATAACGGTAAATACGTTTTACATAATATTCCGTACTGCTTGTAAAACATAACAATAAACATGCATGATAACGACATTACAATCAACTAAATATACTAAATATATGCTAAATAATACAAAAATATCAAGCTATTACACTATTTCTAAGTTCACAAGAATTTAACTGGTTACGTCAAAATAAATAATTTTGTTACTGGTCGTTTCAATAGACCATTTGAAGTTCGAACAGTGACGACTCTTACATTGCCATCAGTTCCTGAAAAAACCTCTACAATACGACCCAGAGACCATTTATTTAGGGGCATAATTAATTTGAACATTATTTTTGAGTGAGTGATGGGCCTAGAATGTTTGGAGTGATGGGCCTAGAATTTAATATGCATTCTCTTTGAAGACTCACTGTCAGAAATTCTTCATACGTAACTTTTGTTTCCCCTACGACACATTTAAGGTGATACTTAAATTATATGACTCCTGCCTCCCAAAAATCTCCAAAATTGGGAGCTCTAGGAGACAAAAAGTTCCATTTTACTTCTTCAGAGGTCAAGTAATTTCCTAAAGATTCATCTGGGTTTTTAATAAGATTATGCAGTTTAGTAAATTCTAAAATGATGTTTAGTAAATGATCGAGCTTCTACCCCTACGAGAGAGGAATCTTTTTAATGCAGCAATGAAGGCATCAGATGACAAATCTGATACTAATTCAAGTTGTACTGCCTTAGTAATAAACAAACAAAAATAGCAACATATATCTTTTGAAATTGTCCCTTTCATTGATGTTTATATTTTATATAAAATGGGCCGGAAAAATCGATTTCTGTGTAATTAAAGGGTGTACTTATTCTCACCCGCTCCTGAGTAAGAAGCCCCATTATTTACTCAACCAAAATTAGTTTATCCCTTCTACAAGCTGCACAATTGTGCACAATTTGTGGTGCCAGTTTCCGACCTTCTCTAAGAGGCCAAAAACCTTTGGCTGACACAATTCAACAATGCTTGTGGCTCTACATGCAGATATTTTTTATATTAATGTTCCATTACCACTTTAGTGAACTGATGATTAGCTGAATAATAGAATAATGGGATACTTCTGAATGAAATTTAAATTAGCATTTTGCAACAGGCCCCCTACTCTTAGCAACTGGTTTTCATAAAACAATGGATTCAGTGGATTTCAGACAGCTTTTACCTGAGATGTCCATTTCAGGCCTGTAATATTCTCCAAAAATATTTTACTCTGAGTTACCTTAATCAGATACAACTCAGCCCCTTTGACTCTACTGATAAAATTCCTCCCCCTTTTTTTTTTCTTGGTTCCGGCAGTTTTAAATGAATCTAAAAATATAACTTACAATACGCAATAATTATTATAGTTTTTTGTAATATTTAGAACATTATAACGCAGGTCATTAGTTAATGGTTCGACTAGAAAGTTTTGCAAATGTGTTGAATTAAAGTCAAGTTGAGAGACATTATTCACTGAAGTAGTTTGATTGGATAGCTGCTTTAGTTCGTTGTGGCAGATCTCATTTAAATCTGACTGAGACTCAGTTATGTACAATTCAACTACTTCTGTTCTTAAGAATGAAGGTCCATTTTACCAAAGTTTAAGATGTTCAATTTAATCTGGGCTAACACCTCTTGAAGTCAAGTCAGCTGGGTTTCCTTCTGATTTCGCATATCTCCATTAAAACTCCTGTGTAAGTTGCTGAATTTTGGCAACTCGGTTAGCTACAAATGTCTTCAACACATGTGGAGAATTCCGAATCCATGCAAAAAACTACGGATGAGTCACACCACATGTATATCTTGTCTAATTTAAATTTAAGTGCTTTTAGCACCTTATTCATTAACTGCGATAAAACACTGCACCACAGAATTCAAATCTTGGTATAGAAACTAATTTTAACGCCACGACTCTTGATTTACTACATAAAAGAACGAACTATTTAGGTGGAGCCTAATTGTGATATACATTTGACATAAATGCAAGCTCCATAAGCCAATTCTGAAGCATCAGAAATTCCACGTAATTCAATTGTAACAGCGTTGCTAGACAAGATTTTTTTATTAATAATCACACCTTTAAATTTAGGCATCGCCATGATGAAATTCTTCCACTAACGAGATTCCTTTTCGGGGAGGACATCATTCCAGCCAATTTTTTAGAAGCCGAAGCTTCTGTATAAAAATTCTGGCTTTCGTAATTAACTGGTCCAATTAAAGCAAGTGGACCAAATATTCGAACAATAGTTGATAAAATCTGTCTCTTAGTATAGTAATCATGCAATTTTGTAGTTACATTGAATGGGAAAGAATCTGAATCTGGATTCAATAAAATATCTAACACCTTCCTTTCATTTTTTATTTCATTACACAACGAATAATCTTCAGCCTTAGTATCAACATTAATCAGCAAGTCCCTGTGATTAGCGAACCATTTATGAAGCTTCATGCCTGCTCGACTTAAAAGATTCACTAACTGATTTTGCAATTCCTTAGGCCTTTTTGTAAATCTTGTGCTCCTGACAGAACATCATCCATATAAAAATCTCGAAGTGTGACTGAAACAGCCTAATGGGAATTCCTTCCCTCAATCTTTAGCTACTTGTCGTAGCAAGGAAAGGGGCACTAGTAGTGCCATATGTAACGATATTCAGTTGACACGTCTTGATTTCTTCTTGGGAATTTTTCTTCCAATGAATTCGTTGAAATTTCCTCTGGCCTGGATGTATTAAAATTTGACGATATATTTTTCCTATATCGGCAGTGAAAACTCGTATGTAAATCTAGAAGTTGAAAATGTCAAAATTCATTTTAAAATTATTTTTCAATGGGTGATCCGATTTCTTAGGCAATTATATCGCTATGTTGTATTTGAGCAGAGCTTTAAAACACTGTATAATACGATGAGGTGTAAGTATTTATTCCGCAATTCCAAAATTGTAATCCAAGAGCTCAATAAAAGGCGTCATGCACTGTTAAAAACTAAAATACGTTATCTGTGTGTCAAGAATAGAAAACATAATGCATGAAATTATATCCAATTATGTGTATTCTCTATCAAAGATTATAGGAAAGTTACAAAAGTTTTAAAAGCAGCATATGTTTAAAACTTCTGATACAGTGTTAAATATCGCCATTACGTTTTTCGCTGTTTTTTCAGTATGTTATATATATGTTCAAGTTTCTTAGTAAGATGACTGACGCATGATTAACTTATTGCGTTTTTAATGAAACATCCCTTCTTCGCACTTACGCCTCATCATAAAATTTAAGAACAAAATCGCAAAATATATAAAAGCAGCATGTGTTTAGAATAGAATAGCTTTTGGAGTGTTGTCATACGCTTTTTTATAAGCGCTCATTATTTTTCAAAAGTAATATATAGCAATAAGAGTTGTTAGCGACATCTTTTAATTTCAAAAGTAATAAGAACAAAATAGTGAGAATCCTCTACTAAAAACTTTCTTATACAGCTAATTAATATTTGTAAATTAGAAGCACCTCTAAAACTTAATTTACAGAAAAGATATTTTTCTGTGTTTTCAAAATTCTGTATATCATTTGATTAAGGTTAATGATCAGTATTGTGCACAACTATTTGTGAGAGCAGAAACAACTTCTTTCAAACAAATCCATCAAGGAGAGCATTTCAAACACCAGAGAATGAAAAGCGTTTTAAATTTGGAGAAAAATAAGGCATTGCTTTAGAAGGGAGTAATATGAAATATTGTCTAAAGGAGCAGTAGTATACAATGAAGAAAAGCTTCAATTCTACTGAATTCGGAGCGAGAGGGAACTAAAGATTCGTCTTGATAAGGAATAAGACTCATTTATAATTTTTCAAAGCCAGGAAACCGAAAAATCTGCAATATCATCGCCGGAACTCTAAATCTGGACCTACAGATTGTTAAACTGATGTGCTTCCAATTACACCACGACGGCATACTGTAAGTAGGCAGAAAATACCTTACATTCTGCCCTGCTTAAAGGTCGTCTGGGAAACCCAAGAATCAGTCTCGAAATCCTAGTGGTGGCGAATTATGGTTCACCACATCTTAAATGTATCGCCACTTGAAGAAAAATTTAGAATTTTTGGGAATACGAAATGTAAGAAAACGAGCGACGGATTCGCCGGGATTTGAGCTCAGGATCTTCCGATTGCTAACCGAACGTGCTTCCAGTTCATCGCGAAGGCGCGCGGGAGGGAGAAAATAGTTTACAGGATTGTCTAAACAAAGGCGACATACCGACGGAAACCATGTGCGTTTTAAAAATAAATTTAGACTAGTTCCGTATGAGCTACATTATTGTAAATTGATAATATATATAAAAACTGGTGTAGATTAGGAGGCAAAGCCTGAATAAGTACTGTTTAAGCTAATAATGTTTGCCATCTCCTGCAAAACGATAACGGTAGCAAAAGTTCAAATATCACATATGAGGAGAAATAAATGGACAAAAACCTTTAGCAACGAAGCGTGGTCTCGAGCTTTTCTTAGGATTCGATTTCTGGTCGTGGCCGTGTCTGTGCTTGTGTTTTTTCGGATATTCTTCGTCGACAGGTATAAAATTTGAATCTTCGTTGGGTGCGGGACAAGGTACACTATGACATATTTCCACAGCCGGAGGCTCCGTCGCTCTATGACACTGTGACCCTCCACGACATGTCACATTACGCTTTCGAAGACCTTGACCACAAGAAGCAGAACACTGAAATAAAAAAACACTCTGTCAAACTGTTAAAGTCAAGCATGAGTCTACACATTAGGTAAGAATTTGTAATACAAATTTTATTTCAAGAACTATGATACTTTTACCTTAGATTTGAGAAATAAATTGTAATACCTAGTTGAAATAAAATAAGCACTTCAGCTTTTTTAATTTAACTTTAAAAGTATATTTGTCATCAACAGATCTCATTTGAGATTTTACTTAAAATTTATAGTGCAACTTAGAAAATCTTTGCTTATAAATGAAAAGCGTAGGTTTTTACTTTATGTTCCCAAGAGCTACTTTTATTTTATAACAAGCCTTTTCCTTCTCCTTCTAATTTCCCACCTACTTTTCCCTTGACAAAATAAAGTTTCAGTATTACGATTTATGCAAATAAGGTAGAAATGAGTATTTAAGCTCAAGTCTGGGTTACTTCAATAAGAGAGTTTGTTCTGCCCTATCGGCCACGTTGTTGCTATTAGTTAAAGCTTGCTATCCTACGGCCGTACGTATACGTGCCGGTTATCCTGAATTAAAGGCCAACTCCACGAGTTTGATTCTGTACAGCTCCGGCTAATTAAATTTTATTTAGCATTAGATTAGTTTATATTTTCTATGTTGAGTTAAAGTCCCAGCAGAGGCTTCTTTTACGGCCAAGAGGGGGGCCATCTGTAAATTTATTTTGAGTCTGAATAAAAGAATAACTTGAACCCTTCTCCGGAGTTGTGACTTGGATAAAAGTACTCAGCGAATAGTCGCTGCATAGTTCTTCAGTATTCTAACTTTCAAAGAACTCTGTTTTAGCCAGGATGCTGCAAAAGAATTGTATTTTAACTTTGCGAAATTAAAAAGCCTATTTAAGATGCATTTAATCAAATATAATTCATTAATGCTGATTCAAGATGCCTTTAGAAAAAAGGTTTAAAAACAAAGGGGGGGAGAAAAAACACTTGCAAACCTGCTCTTGAAATTCTAGTCCAATATACCAAAAGGACCGCTACTTAATTAGCTTTAGATCAGGATTTATTTTTTCCCAGCTTCTCATCGTATCTTTTTTGTTTGATACATTAATTTTTACGATATTCCTGTAAATTTTCGTAGAAGCCCCATTTTACGATATCTATTCTTGTGCTTTGACTTGCAAATGAGGGCCATACTGGTTCAAGAATCTAAGTGCTAATCTGTAATTCCCTGTGAACTTCCACTGAAAATTCTGTACGCATTTTACCTTAACTTCATTTAACAATAATTCCTGAGTGCTTGTCTCAATAATAGTGAACATAAGTGCCATTTACAAACAGTGCAACTATTTCTATGACTAAAGCAAACATTATACAGAAGATTGTTCGCACTTTATGGAAAGATTTTGATAATGAATTTTTATGGAAAATGGAACTCATTTCTTGTGACGGTTTGCTTTTATCTGACAGCCTAAAGCTCTAGCTTGAATTTTTCATGAAAGGATACTTTTTCTTAGCAGTATTACGCCAGTTTTATCCCACGCCTCTTGGCTCATTTTCCAACGTCCATACGAGAAGCATCAAGTGATTTGACAGGTATTTCTTCAAGTAGGATAAATTTTATTCCTGTTTCTGATTTTTCCCAAGTACTCGGCAGTTCACTTAAACATGTGACATAAGGATGTAGGCTCTAACCTGCGTCCTTTATGAAGTTCAACTTTATGGATATCCTTTCCATATATGAATTATAGTACAGTGAATTAATTTTAGCTTTACATGAGATTTCTTTGAGTTTGTCGTTATAACAAAGTTCTGCGGCTATAATGCCTTCCTTTGGGAACTCCTCTGTACATCGACGAAACCATTTCCTACAGTCATTTTCGTCAGCTGAGTAATGGAAAACTGGTCTTTTTACTTCCTGGTCCGAATTAAGTATTGTAATTGCGAAAAAATTTCGGGTATCGTATTTCAATGAAAATATCCATTTCAACCGCTCTTGAAACCATTTGAATGATGTTTGGGGGTGATATCTGTACATACGGACAGAATAAAGGACTGCTTTTGCCAAAAAAAAATTGTAAATTGGATTTAAAATGGATTCACAAAAGATTTTATTCTTGCCGTTTGTACATACGTACTTACTTACATATGTATGTATCTTGCATAATTCAAGAACGGTTAGCCGTAGAACGTTGAAATTTTGTATAGGACTTCTACAACTTGTAGTTATGCACTTCCCTTTTTCTTTGCAATCGGCTGCACCAATCGTATATAAATATATCTATTTCCGCTCTGTTGCCTGGTTCAGTGAGCTTAGTTTTATTATTTTTATATGTTGGTAAATTATGCTTTTTTTTTTTTTTTTTTTTTTTTTTTTTTTTTTTTTTTTCTTTAAAAGTAATTGAATTATGTAGTTTTAACGTTCTGGTTAAGATTTTTTTTGCCGTTAGTCAAGCTACATGCAATAGTTGTAGAATTATCAATAATTCAAATGTTAAGTCGAGTGGCGAGTTAAGCCTATCGAACCGCCATTTGTTTACATTTGAAACTCGGTAGAATAGTAAGAAGAATACAGTTTCTGCATCTTCAGTGTCTTTTTGCCAAATGGGTTCAAAAGTAATCTTTCATTTTTGTGCTCCGAAAAGTCTCTCTTCTTGCCTGCTGTCCGAATTGCTTGTTTTTGCGTAGAAAGTCTAAATATATTAGTAAAAATTGCCTTTTAACTGTATTTGGTGTTTTATATTTTGCTGTATTTTGCAATTTTTAATAAAAATGTTTTGAGATTTTAAATATTTTTGCTTTGTCGCGAAATGACAACTGAATTAATTGAATGAGAAACATATCTCTAATAAAATTCGAGGAATAAGTTTAAATGAAATGGAGCAAAAATATATAGGCCATACAAGGCAATCATGTGGTTTTCACATCAGGTTTTTTATTAGTGATTTTACTGCAGTTTTTTTTTTTTTTTACGGTGAACGAATTTTAGATCATAAAGTGCGACCTGCGTATAACTGTTCTTTCCATGATGAAAGCATCGTATTTATATGATTGCTATTTCAACAACATTTGCTTCACATTTTTATCACAAATATAATTTCATCTAAAACTGATTAAATATGCAATTATGTAATTAATTCCCTTCTCGCTCCTGGTCTTTTAATTAGCATATCATGAATCAGCAAACTTTGATATTTTTAAACTCATAGACTCACTTGTGACCAATTTCCAACAACCCATACTCCGCAAGTAACATTAGCACATGGTCGGCGTGTCTTTGGTTTTTCCTCTTCTTTACACTTGCCATCTGGATGGCTACAGTATACGTGTCGATTTTGGAAGTTGCAAAGATCTTTGCTGCAAGCCTGGAAACATAAAAGTTAAAAACATTATAAACATTAGTCCTCCACTGCAAATGGACAGAATAAGAATCTTTAAAATTTTATGACATTTTCCTACCACCACTTTAAACTCGCGATCTAATTAATTTGTTAAACTGTATGTGAACTATTAACGAATTAACAATAAAAGTGATGGTGAACAATTAAATATCAAAGACTATAGCCTCTTTTCTCTTCTTTATTCAACTTCTGCAGAATGCTGAGAAAAAAAAGCCCTTAGAAAACATACAACAAGAAAACATAGAAGCAAATAAGAAATGCAGTATAAAAGAGACAGCATAAATATAAAAGAAATACAACACAAAACATAGATACAAAATACCAAAAAACGAATAAAATCACAAAATTCATCATGTGGTTCCTCGCTTCCCAGAACGATGTAAAGAACTATGGCAAAGGGAGTAGTACAGCTGATGGCAGGAGGAGACACCATAATTCTACCAAAGGCTTAACTGGTATTGTCTCGCATTCCCGCATACCTAAGATTAGGAGATACATCAAATGATATTCTTAGATATTATTACCATCGTGGTTCAGAACATAACGACCAGGAAGCACTACAATGTGCAAAATTGAAGGTGTTCATTAATGATTCCTACAGAAAGAGCACGAAAACAATTTTAAATAAAAAGAAAAAGGCGGAAAAGCAATCGTGTCTAGTCTGCAAACGAAAGGCATTGCTACATGACGAGAATTTAAATGGTTTTGTATGTTGAGCAGCCAGTTTTCTGCTCAGAATCCATTCTTACAGGAAATGTCTTACATATGTTCAGAATTCTTTGGCAAGAAATGGCAAATGTAAATTGAAAAGTGATATTGCTAGATTAATTTGTTTGCTGAAAAATTACTAGGGATTCCAGAAAGAGAAATAATCCAGTATTTGCAGTATATCGATTGATTTGCTTCCTGGTAGACCACCTTGTGAAAAATATTTTGCTGCTAAATAATCTATTTAAATCTTTGCAGATTTTTTTTTGGGGGGGGGAAAGTAAATTTCAGTGTAAAAAGATTACTATATAATAATTCAATCATTGACAGTTTATATATGCTTAAATCGCAAATAATAAAGAATTATCCTCTTGCTCTGACCTAGAGTAAAATAATCATGGAAATTATAAGAATGGTATTAGGAAAATATTAATAGCAAATATATGCGCCTGAACATTTAAATTTCAGTTCACTAATTGATATTTATAATGTTATAATTTCGTTTCAATTATTTTCAGCGTTTGATGAAAGATAATTGAGGTTTTGGATGATGGAGAGGGCCATCAGTGCTCACTTTTGCTTTGCCTAAAATAAATATTTATCGTAATCATATGACTTAAGAACATTTTAGAAGATAATATATCCATCTTGGCATTTACATTTCATACCTGTAACTGTAATTTGCATTGTTTCGGCTTTGTTTCAATTATTTACGTGACTCAATTAAAACTGTTTGAGGCATTATAACCTGAAATCTTTAAAGGGCTTTAAAATAATAATAATAAATAACATAAAGAAAAGGGGCAGTGCCCCCTTTTATTTTTATGACAGAAAATAAAAATATAAAAAAATCACATCTGAAATGTGACTCTTAAGAGCCTAAGGCATAATCAGGCCCTGATTATCCCTCCGAATACACTTTTCGAATACCATCAGTGCTTTTAGGACACAAGTGGAACCTAAGTTACCGACGTCTTTTATCTAGTGGCGCCATTTGCATTTTGTGAACTGAATAGACTGACCGAGTATTAAGTCACCCTGTACCTTTGCAGCAAGACTGTCGGTTTTTAAACAGGAACTGTTAAAAACATATCGTAACACGTTTAATTAAGTGCACTTCATAAATTTATAAATGCCACTGAATAAAGACAGCATCATTCATATAAATTCTGGCCTGCAGGCACGTGGATACTAATTTGTTACTTTAGTAGCCATTCATAAAAACAGCAGTCCCAGAAGAGCCTATCTGATACGTCAGGCTTAAAGAGTGTAAAAAAGAGCAATAGCTGTAAAAATGTGAAAGAAGTGTATGCTAAAGGCGTTTTGAATACTGTGAATGCCAACAATACTTCTCTACATTTCGACATGGCGACCTTGGCTGGAAAGTTGCCTGCCCCTGTGGGCACCTTGTCTTTTTTCAAAAATGATGTGTTAAAAGCTTCAACGGGAAAAAAAATCCTTACGCAATCGTTGAAACGTTGGCAGAAGAGATTGAATTCGCAACCATCAGCTGTATATCGTTGTTTCAAGTAATTTGGAATCGGGACTAAGCTTGGCAAGTGGGTTTTACATGAACTTACTGACACACTACACAAAGAAAATGTGCGACATCTGCACTCCTCTTCATTCACGTGAGAAAAATTATCCTTATTTATTACCGTCCAGTGAATAATTGTTCGCAGTATTTTATTGACGAAAAATGAATGCAAATCCCATGAAGCACTTGAAAAGGGACCTTCAAGATTTTATTTCCAATAATCTCATTAATTTCTTTAAAAACAGCATAAGAAACCCTATTTATTACTGCGCTGAAAGAATGTTATTGATTCAGGTGAAAAATATACAGTTGCTTAAGTTAACATCTTACTTACTTTTAATTTATTTAATATCTAACGCAAAAAATAATATCACATATTAAATGTTAAATTAGTAACACAACAATCTTGAGTTTGACGTAGATTAATGTGCAAGATCTGAATTGATTTCGAGGGCAAACAGGTACAGGTTCCTCTTCGTCAGGAGCTAGATGTTACCTTCTCGTTTCCTTTCATTGTGAAGTACAAATATGACCATTGTTTTCCAGTTTTGCATATTTCTTTACTCCGAAGAGGGGCGTGTACCTGTTTGCCCTCGAGATTGATTGAGATTTTGTTCTTAAATCTACGCCAAACTCAAAGTTTCTAATTTAATGATTCACGTGGCGTGTTTTTATTCCGTTTCCACTTATTCTTATTAAATGACCACCTGATAAGTTTTGCTTTCGTGAGATGACACCATGATAAGGCTGGTAGTCGATAATTATTTTCTAATCCTCAAAAACAGACTTTTGGATGCCTTGGATCGCAGTTTGATGGAACAAAAACTATCTCTAGCTTTGCCCTTTGCTAAAAAAACCGATATAATTCAGATGATGCAATATTGCTGTGTTAGCCGCAAGAGCAAAATTCACACTATTCAATGGAACTGGTATCACATCTGATGGGTAATATCGTTACATTATCTACAAGGGTAGAATCTGTAGTAGAAGTGATTAAGGAAACATTAACTCCTAGACGAAAAGCACTTTAAGATATCGATAAATGTAGACGAGCTGGTAGCCTTAACACTGACTTAATTTGTAATGAAGATTCAGCCGAATTCTGTATTGATGAAATAAAAGCTTGAAGACAACTTACATCTGACCACTGTGATGCAGACCATGTCTCACGGCCGCCGTGGCAAGGTCTCTTGTGAGGACAAGGTTCAGAATCGGTAGGCCTCAGTAATGGGTCGCAATCTTCATCCAGCAAAGCAATCTGTTGATCTTTACTAAGCGAGCGTACACAAATAACGGTTCTTTTGCGAATTCCTCGTTGACCACAACTGGTTGAGCAATGCTGCCAGGGCCCTGACCACCATCTATAAAGAGAGGAACAGTTAATGATATATAGAGAAAAAGTTGTAGTCGGAACCCGCTGTAGTAAAGCTGGCTTACAACGAACCTTGGATATAACGAACGAAGTCCTGTCCTATTTCCTATACACTTACTGTTATTTTATACTGCTTTAGCGAACTTCGTGATATATGAAAATCGGATATAACGAATTATATGGATATTTTCGATTAAAACATTTTTGTATTTTTCGTATTTTTTCCAAATTTCTGCGAAAGTGCGAAGTTTTAACGAAAAAATTACTATCCCTTAAAATCATCCATATGTAGGATGTAAAGATTCACATTCTGTCAGTAAAGGAAAGCATCTTTTTTGCATTGCTGTTCTTTTATGCACAACCCCACTTTTCTCTGAGTTCTAAACAAAGAATTTGCAAACCAGGTATTGACGCCCAATATAATAAGCAAATCTTAGGACCTATATGGCGTTCATTGTATGTGGTGCATGTAACGAAAAACATAAAATTAGAGTCAAAACAACATGCCGAATATTGATTATTAGAGAAGCAACAAGAGCCAGATTAACATTCATAAAACTGCAGAACTAGTTTCAAAGTTTAAATACAGAATCTTTTTCTTATCTTTCGTCTTTTGCATTTCTGAAGCCGAAGAGGAATATTCGGTATTTAAACCTTCGAGCCTAATCCTGCAAATTTATGAATATTGCCCTGATCCTTGTTGCATTAACTCCTCCAATAATAAAAGAACATAAGTAGGTTCTATGATTCCATTCAAATTCTTTGACTGTGTTGTCAAATAAAGCTCTATACAAAGCTGATGTTGCGATGGAAATTTTCTTTAATCAAGGCAAGAGGAAGTAGGGACTTGTCTGAGTCGCAACAGTTAATTCATGTATTAAGGAGTGAAAATATTTTATCTTTACCTCTTTTTGGTTTGAATATAAACACTACCCACATTCTGTCCTCCAAATGGGATGAAAAACATACGATATTCTTTACTAAAGTTATTTAATCTTTTCATTGCAGTGATATATATTTAAAAAAAAAATTAAAGGAAAATTCGTCCGTATTTTTTGTTGTTTGTTTTCGTACAATTATAAAAACACTGATTTTATATTTCTGTGAGACTACTTCTGTATACGTAAAGTAAATAAACTGTATACTGTAGATACGAATGAATTGGTTTGTGCTTATATTTCTTGCCAAGGCTAAAACATACTAACTACCGTTTCTCGGCAAAACTAATATAACCGACCAAGTACTCAATTAACCATCTGATTTTTTTTTATTTCATCTATGTTTTTTATTGCTTTACCGAATTTCGGAATCATTCAGAGGGTAAAAATTATATTTCTTAATAACCATGTACAGTATGAAACAATTTTTTTATCAAAAGTATTCGTCAATTAATAGGTACTTACGCATTAACGCAACTATTTTGACTCCATCTGACAATTTTTACAGATAAAAAATATTTGCTTATCAAATGCAAGTTCGCGATACTGTTTTTCGAAAAAGTTTCTAAACTATCGATATTTAACGTAAGTCTTCGGATATTATCTAAATGTCAAAAGAGAAACACACATACAACTCTTATTTAATAGTTAAAATTTGTATTTAATAGTTAAAATTTGTATTTCAAATTTTAACTATTAAATAAGGATTTTATGATACATAAAAAGTAAAACAGATTTTTCGCGAAACTCTTCTGTAAATTTTTGCTCTTTTCTTCTTCCCGTCTACACAGCTATCTGTTTTCAAGGGGGAGGAAATTGCACAAACTCGGCATTTCTAATAGACTCTCTATGAAGTGAATCTCATCATTGTTCGATTCACTGAATTTGTGACAAAATGCTGTATTTCTTTAGAAACTAGATTGAAGCTTCTTCCATTGCTCATAAATTCCACATTTTAAAATTGAGATTAAGGCAAAAAAAAATCATTATTTATCTGTAAAAACCGTTAGAACATTGAACATAACAAAAGAATGCATATGGAAATGGCGACATCGCTCAACTGAAAGATTGTTATAACTATGGTTATGCGCATAATTGCCAGACTTTGGCATAGTTGGAAAATTTACGACTTGTAATAAGGTGGTTGCGGTAACACGTAAGTACAAAACGCTTTTTTGTGGATTTGAGGTTACGATAATTGCATTTAGAAGGTAATCAAAACGTTCTTGCCGTTTTGGGCAGTCATAAAGAAAAAGGTCATAAAACAAAAAATAATCACCGCTATTCTCAAAGTAATCACCATCGGTATCCACTATCTTTTGCCAACGAACGGTTAGCTGTGCGATGCCATTCCGGTAGAACTCAGGAGTCTTGCCGCAAAGAAGTCCGTGAGGGTCTTTTCGAGGTCTCCCCCGGTTATTGAAGAATTTCCCACAAAGATGGTTGTTCAGCGAATGGAAATGGTGGTAGTCTGTTGGCGCGAGGTCTGTGGAATATGGTGGATGGGGTAGTGCCTCCCAGCTCGGTCGCTGGATCATCTCCCTGGCCTCCCGAGCCACATGCGGCCTCGCATTGCCATGGAGGAGGAGTACCCTCTTACGATTGACCAATGCTGGCTCTTTATGCATCAGTGCCTGATGCACACGTTCCAGTTGCTGCGAGTGCAGGCGTGCCATGATGGTTTCGGGTGGAGGGAAGGTCTCGCAGTGTTAGAATTGTAAGAATTGGAGGCTCCCTTCAGCCCATTTGGACACGAGTGTCCCCATAGCTCAAAAGAAGGGGCTCCGTATCTCCACAAACGAGGGCAGCAGTAACCCACCACCCCACAACAAACAAAATACTAATCAAAAATAAGTAACAATCTAACACAAATTACAGACCAACAAACAAACAAAAAAATCCATAAACACAAATTCACACATAGAACAACCGATATCTAAAACCCACAAATACAAAATTCAATTTAACAGAAGATCTACCAGCGCCCTTTTTCATTGATAAACTTTATTAGAGCAATAGAATATGATTTAAAATTTAAAATTAATGAATTACATTAAAGTCAGTATATTAAAAATCTGTCTAATAGGGGCTGTTAACTACATCAACCACGAAATGCCTAGATCACATCATCCGACACTATTACATAATTTTTTCCTCAGATTAAATCGGTGAATAGAAAGGTCTCGCTGTGAGACAAGGTCCCGTGGTGATACCAATGTGGGAATGTTGGGTGTGCATATTGGACCACTTTTCATCGTTGGTGAGTACTCGATCAAATGGATCATTGCGTGCCGAGTAAATGAAAACAGGCAGAGGCACGCTGTTGCTTGTTTGCATCGCAGGTTGGGGACCAACTGCCTTTCTAGGTGGTGCAAAGGAATCTGATCGTACTGGAAGTGTGCACCGAAGCTTACCACATGTTTGGCTACTATCATTCTCTATGGCTGCTCTCAGGGCCTCATCATCCAGTGCTTGTGGCCGACTGCTGCGGAATGTATCACTAAGAGACATATTCCGTGACCTGAACTTCTGGGACTATTGCCTAGTGGTTCATTCATTAACGGCATCATCCCTAAAGACCTGGCAAATTCAGTGACTTCATTCTGCTCCTGACAGGCCCACTTAAAATCAGCAACAACTCGAACGAGGCCTTTGACTCCTACATTTCAATTAGTCGCTGTCTGAGTTATGTTTGAATGAATTGGCGGTGAATAACAGTGAGTGAGAATATTCGGCCTGACCGCCTTTACTCCAAACTTATTTAACCTGCTAAATATTCGTAGTATGAAATCGTAAAGTCCACAAGTGGAACGCAAATGTGGCGCCATCTATGGGCACATCTATGTGCAGTTGTTCAATTTAGAGATGGCTATTGTGTCGCCATCTGTAGCCAATTTTGTGTAAAGCAATTATTTGAAGGTAGCACATATCTTGATGATGGATGAAAAATAGTAAATAAGATTGTAATGTTGCACGCTCCCAACCTGCACGCAATAATAGTGGTGACTGCTATGAACTGGAAAGTATACAAAGTCTTGAGAAGGGTTTAAATCCCTTTTTATTCAACTTTAGAAATTACAGATGCGTGCTCTTGACGCTCACAAACTACGCCGACCCGGCGGTAAAATAAAAATAAGCAACTAAAAATGAATAATAACCAGTGACTACCTACGAGGCTCTCTAAAACGTAACTAACCTAACCACGTTCTAGATACCGCTGACATTCAGCAAACTTCTGAATATTACGTGAAAATTAACTATTGCCGAGGCAAGCACACAGGCCGAAACGCGTGGTTCTTCATTTCTACCAGCCACCTCCGCTCGTGAAGTAAGAAGCACACTTTCGAACTCGTTTCCTTCTATTTAACTCAGATTACTTCCGCTGATAATTTTGAATACTTTGCGCGTTCTACTAAAATTTACATACTCTGGCATTGGCAGTTCCAGGGGAAAGAAGGCTGACAGGAAAGATAGTTTAAAACTTAAACTAAATATTAGTTAAAATAAATATAAACCCTACATTTGCCGCTGCCAGAATTTGGAAACTTGGAAGGTCCTACAAACGACCTGTTGAAGTTTCCAATTCTGAACTAAAATTTAAGAGCCTCGTTTACATAAAAAAAGTTTGTACAAATTGTAACTAAAATTCTGTAGATACTTATTTAACCTCTCTTCTTACAGCAACTTTCCTGGACTTCATCAATCAATCTGGTCTCTTCCTTCCAGCATCTGGAAGGAATAAGTATCAGTATCTTTCTAAATCATTATAATTTACACTTTCTTGACACTGAAATTTTTTTTTTGATCGATTTTTTCCTTAGTTATGCTTAATTCACATTCATTCAATTATTTCAAACATTAATTTAACTTTACCTGGCTCTCCACCATGTGTGGTGTCAAACGGGAATATTTCGTGTTTTAGTTTACAACACTTCCCTAACCACAATGATTTGTTAGAATTCAACACCAAATAGACACACCTTACTCGACATTCTACAACTCGATGAGCTATTTTAACATTCTTAAAATTCAAGTGTAGGTGGAGAACCCTACAAAACACATTCATTCTAACTTCCCCCATTCATCTTTAAGAACATGCAGGCTTTCGCTCTAAAGCATGATTTATCTACAGTTTAATACTTAAATTTTGAATTCATTTTTGAGCATTTTACTTTAGCATCTAAAATTTATGCTTCTAGACTAAATTCTACTTTTACATAACTTTAAGTATTTACGTATTTACAAATTTAATACATATGATTTTTACAATTTACCATAAAATGAATAAGAGAAAATAAATTTTTACTTACTCATTCTCTTCGCCAAGCTGGCGGCACTGAAACTAAAATTCTTATTAATACAAGAATACGAAGTTATTTTATCTTCGGCCAAATTTTGGCTTTAAACATAACAGAATTAGTCTTTTGACCAACAGAAAATGCTGTTTCTTAGCTTTGATACTTAAAGAAAATAATACTTTTGCCTTAGCTAAATAAAGTAAAACAAAACTAAGTCTCAACCGAGACAAATTGACTTTCGTCAAAACATAGAACTTCGTACTTTATGCATAACATTTCGGAAAAAGAAAAAAATTTTATAGAGAATTTTAACTTATCTTTGAGTTTTCGATGATTGGAAACTCCGTCATCCTTTCTGGCAAACTTGATCCAAGTTATGGAATTATGGACGTCAATCGTCTCCTTTGTGATCCTCGAGTGTCGTCCATGCTTGTTTTCTTTTTCGCCCTCGCATGCTGGGCCTCTTGGACGTGGTAGTCGTCGGTTGCCTTTGTTTCTGTTGGTGGTGGTCTTTTCGTTCCTCTGCTGTCTTTTCGTTCTCGGGAACGGCGGCCTTGTTTGCACCTGATTCTCTGGCCCTGGGAGCGTTCTCCTCGATTCATAATTTCTACTGCGATACGTTGTAAGGTGGTGTTTTCCTCTTTACCAAGATTTCTTTACGCGGCGGCTTTGCTTTCTTGTTTTTCTTAAATGCTGGAGTCTGAAAGATTTCGTTTCTTCTTTTCGGTACCGTCGCATGGGTTCTAGTAAGGGCGAGGTTTCTCTTTCAGTTCTCTGCTTCTTGGGTGGTGGAACGGTTGTCGTTACTTCTGGACCTTCTACTTCTTTTAGACTTGAGTCCTGCAAGAAACTTTTAAGGATTTCAAAATCATTTGGATTTATATTTTTTTCACTGGTCGGGACTTGCTTTACAGATTTCCCCTCTCTCGTTCTTAAGGTACAATACGACTCCCTTTGATTTCCTGAATTACATAGGGGCCTTCAAATTTTGAAGCTAGCTTTGCCGTAGTAAAATTGTCTGGGGCACTTGATAAAGAAAATTTCCGCTTTCAAACACTTTATCCCCAACTTTAAATCTGCTTCACGGCGTTTTCTATCATAATATAATTTTGTCTATTTCTTGCCGTATCCGAGCTTTTTAACCGCCTGATCAATGAGTTTTTGCACATCTTTTTTGTTTAAAATCTTGCTCTCTTTGTTGCACGATAAGCTAACGATTGAATTATCTAAGTCTCTTTGTCCTTCGAGTGTCTAAATTTCTCGCGTCGTATTAAAAAAAAAGCCTCTGGTTTAGTATCGTGATTATAGCTATTTGTAGCCATCCCAGCGCTTGTGATGTGTGCTAAACTGCGAATTATTTTACAACTCTTTCTGCTATGTTAGCCTGTGGTCTATACGGAACCATTTTGATATGGCGTATGCCAAGTCCATTGCATATGTTTTCAAATATTTGACTAATGAATTGTTTTCCGTTATCGCTAATGACTTTTATCGGTGCACCGTATTTTAAAATGTATCTGTGTAAGAATGCATCTGCGACTGTTTTGGCTGACGCGCGTTTAAGTGGAACAATTTCTGTCCATTTTGAAAAATGATCTACTATTACTAAAAGAAAACGATTTTTATTTAACTCGCTCTGGGGGAAGGGACCAAGAAGATCTATGCCTAAAATTTCATTCGGAAATGTAGCGCGAATGCTATTTAAGTACCCGGCCGGGCTGTAATTAATATCATTTATTAACTGACATTGATTGCAGGACCTGACATACGCCGTTACTATTTTGTATAATTGCGGGAAATATACCGCCTCGCGTACCCTTTTTAAAGTCTTTCTGACCCCTAAATGGCCCGCTGTTTTTTCGCGTTCGTGTAATTCCTTCAAAATGCTTAATCGAAGCGAGGCTGGGATGACTGGTTTTATACTCAAGATTTTCGTTTGTTGTTTTCGTATAAAATAATAAATTATCTATTATTTCATAGTTTTTGCTCTATTTCTTATCGCATCGATATCTGTGTGTGCTCAAAGCTTTCGGGGTCTTTCAAATATGCATAGATATTTCCAAATTCAGGATCAGCTTTCAGTTCAGTAATAATTGTATCTCTAGAATCTAAAATTTTTGAAGTCAACACAGCGCGCATTTAAGTTCATTTCCTTCATCGTCCAGTTTTATACGAGAAAGTGCGTCAGCTACATTGTTTTCCTTACCCGGTTTATATTTTATTGTGATATTATATTCTTGGAGTTTTAAAGCCCATCTTATTAACCTGGGCGTTAGGTTTTTCCCCGAGTAAAGTCTACCAACAGCCGCATGATCCGAAAAGACTGTTACTGGCGATTTGCCGAAATAAACTCGAAATTTGTGTACAGCCATTAATAC